CTTATGCAGGGGGTCAGACTCGATGATCTATTGAGGTCCCTTCCGACCCTAACATCTATGAATCTATGAAACCCAGTGCTGCTTCATCTCCCTAGGTTTGCAGTTTAATAACTTGGCTTTTGAAGTTCATAGCAAGCCCATTTGGGATCCCAAAGCAGCAGTGACAATATTGCTCTCATGCTTTTATCCATGACATTTCCTTAATATGTTGTGCATGCCTATTAATAACATTATTGCAACGACAGCCTTGTGCTAGCAATTAATGAATTGCTGACACTTTGGCAGAGAACTTTAGAAAACACTTTATTGAAAGGTGATTCTGTTGGTTGATTCACTGTACTCTCTGTACTTAGATATTTCTCTCTCCTTTTTTCAGTACTTTGGCACTTGTATGAAATGACAGTGGTTGCTTAGAAATTTCATCCACTTCTGTCCCTGATGTCAGAATCCTGTCTCTCTATCACAGCGAGTTGTTCTATAGAAGATTACAACATCTCAAAGCTAATTCTGATTTCAGATGGGGAATTAGGAAGTGATAGTATCTATGTGTTAGTTAAGGCTACAGATTACATTCTGAAAGACATCTCATCCTTTCTCTGTCAAGAAAAATTAAAACACCACCAAATTAAAAATGGCATGTGGGCTTCAAAATTAGCATGCAAAGTCTTTGCCTGGAATTAGATTTTTCAGTCAAGCTTGAATCAAACCGGAAGGGGGTTGACATCTTTAAAACAGAAGATTATTGGGACTGGGATTGGTATTTGTGTGTTCAGTTCCTGCTTCTTACCACAGACTTCCTGTGTGACTTTATCTTATTCAGGTGTTTCTCTCTCTCTCAGGTGTAAAATAAGCAAAACAATATTCTCTGTTTTGGGGATAATGATTCTTTTACTCAGAACAAGGGAAACCAGATCTTGGTTGGGGCCATTCCATAGCGCTCCTCTTCCAGGTGTGTACCCAGTAGGTGAAGCCTGCTCTATGACTCCTTCTTCAGAAGCTTCTGTCCATCACCATCTCTTTTAGAAATGCCTCATACTCTCAGCTCTTGTATACGCTTTTGCCATGTTTTCTTGGGTTTCCTCCTTCTTTCTTCTTCTCTGACTCTAGAGGCCTAGTCATACGAGGAGAGGCTGAGTGACTTGGGACTGTTCAGCCTAGAGGACTCAGAGAGGGCTTGGTGGCAGCCTATAAGTACATCAGAGCCAGGGGGAGCAGGTATTCGCAAAGGCCCCCCAGGGGAGGACTAGAAATAATGGGCAAAAGCTGATTGATTGAAGATCGCTTCAGACTAGACATAAGAAAAAACTTCTTTACAAGTTGAATACCGAGCATTTGGAACAGGCTCCCCCCAGAGGTGGTACAGTCACCCAACCTGGCGATCTTCAAAAAGTGTCTTGATGCCCATCTTGCTGGGGTCATCGGGCCCCAGTGGTCTTTCCTGCCCAAGTGCGGGGGAGCTGGACCCGATGATCTGTAAGGTCCCTTCCAGCACCTCAAAACTATGAAACTGTGACTTTCTTTCCCACATACTCTTCAAGCCTTCTTGGGTACATGCCCAAACCATCTTGGTCGACTCTGTCAACTTTTCTCTATTAACTTCCCCTTTGCCTGTTGTCACACCTCTTTATTTCTTTCTTGCTGACTCCAGAAATCCCCTTGATGTCCTCATTTTCATCATCCTGTACTATGCACCTTGCATAATACTAACACATAAAGCTTTTGTAAGGTATATAAACATCTTCTGGAATGATGGTTCTGTAGGGAAATAACAATTTAAAGAATTTCAACCAGTGTGTTAAGTGGGAGGAGGAAGAAATTTCTTGGTACATCTGGCTGAGATTGCATGATTTTACAGATAGAACAGGAAATCAGTAGCTACAGAGCTCTCTTATATTGTTGGTTGCCCTTTTTAGGCTAATTACCAACACAGGATTGGTCAAAGGAATTTTACTCTAAAGTTTCTCAACCATGAAGTCATTTTGACAAAAACTTTATGCTGTGAATAGGCAGTAGGAGATGGTAAACTCTTAGTTTTCAGTTGGCCTGATTTATGTGAAAGAAAATTAAAATCAAGTCAGGGTGAGGTGTGCGGAGAAATGCTCCATAAATAGAATCGTTCTAATGAGAATTGTGTGTGTATTCTTCCTCCCACACCTCACGAAGCAGCGTTAGGTATTAGGCATCTCAGAAAATAATAACGGGAGAAGAATTGATTCATCAGTGAATAAGCAAATCGATACGTGTTTTTAAGTGTAACTTTATCCATAACAAATTACATTCGAGAAAAAAATTAAGCAAGAAACTTAATTAGAGCTTCTGTTTCACGTGCTGTTTCAGTGGTGCTGCTGAGTTCCCAAGCTTGTTCCTGAATTCACTCTGCTGCCACTGGATTTGGTGATCTACCCACTATGTGCATTCCCACCTGTCACCACCTCTATTGTTACCTCTCCACTGTTTCCCTTTTAATTTTCCCTGTCTCTTTC